ATCATGGTAATGTAGGTGTACGTGTGCGTGAAATCCCCTCCCCTTATAGTTCTAACCATCAATTGTATTTAAAAAAATGTTAACGTGTGTATCTGGTATGAATTTTGGATTCATCCGACCCAAAACAAGTTATCAATAATAACTTGGCACTAGAAATTCACCCAAACCAATTGAAGCTCCAGTTCATCTTTCGGCCGAAGGATAGTCTGTTCAAATCAAGGAGATTTAACTAACCCATCGGCCCATTCTGAAAATAGTAGTGATTTTTGATACCCAGGCCCTACGTTGTCAAGCCTTACCAAAACTAGTGGACTCACAACTGGTCTGGCCCATCACTGCACCTAGAGAAAGATTAATGGCACCCAAAAAAGGTTTTTAATTGAAATGGTCTTCCAATTATTGTTTGAGTTTCATTTTAACCCACGAACTAAAATTTTTATTTCAATAGTCCTCCAACTATCTATTTAGTATCAAAATGTTCTTACAATCGAAGCCTGTCAATTGATTCTTTAAAGGAAGGGACAAAACTGTCTTTTTCGGGTAAAATCATCTAAAAAAAGAAAAAAACTAAAAGAAACTGAAGAAAAACACTAAAAAGAAACTGCACCTAGATATCACCCCATCCCCACCCGCAACCACCGGCTCCCCACTCCCCCTCCCCCTCCCTCTCCCTCCTTCCACCTCTCTATTCTCTATGATTCCTTTTGCTCTCATTTAAAATAAAATAAAAAGTTTTATGGTGGGAATGGGATTTGGTTGTGGGGGTGGGTTCTGTGCAACCCACCTCTTTCTTCGTCTTCTTGGAGTTAGCTGTGGAAGATCAATCCTAGTAATCCTAGCAATCCCAATAATCCGAAGCTTTGGAATACCCAGGCCTAGAAGAGAGATTTTGTATGAGGCAAGGCCATTTAAAACCATAATGGAAACCAAAATAAAATATGTGGATCCTTGCTGCTTTCTCAGCTACATTCATTACTGTCTCATTTAAGAAGAAATTTGATAGCTTCTTAAATGGACATGTGGCAAGATAAAGATGGTTACCCTTCTTTCATTTTCAAAATCAAGATTTGCAGCCATGGGGTGGATCGGCGAGAGAGAGAGAGGGTTTTGCCCCTCGATTTCACGGAACAATTGACAAACCTTTTTTTTTGGAGAGTCGAAGGGGCTGGGGTCAATAAATTTTTCTGATTTCACGGAATAATTGAGGGACTATTTCGGTCAATAACCCCACCAAAAAAGAAGTAATAATTTATTTACTCAATTCTTTCTTATTTTTCTTTTTTAACAAAGAAGAATTAATTTCACCCAAAGTACAAATAGTGCCATGAGAACCAAACAAAAAAAGTACAAATAGTATGAGTCAGGATGCAGAAAAGTGGCCCAATAAAACCTTACCATAAAACATTAAGAAAAATTGATCAATAAAAAAGAGTGGTAAACATCCAAAAACGAAAGTAAATAAAAACAACAACTAATAATCCCCCACCAAATCAGCATCAGCCATTCCCTTGCCTAGGCCGAAAACCCACTTCACCAACATACAACTGTGTCAGCAGATATGGGTTAGCTTATCCTCCTCGTAGTTTAGATTAAATTAAAGTATTAAAAAAAATATGCAACAGTGCCATCAAATATGGTTGGGGGATGCCTCATGTAATAAATATAGATTAAATATTAATTGAGTTTTTTTAATCACAAATAGTCTTTGAGATTTGTGAAATTATCACACATTAATTTGGTCCTGCCATTAGATTCTGTCAAAATTTATATTAAATTGATGACGTGGCATGTATATCTAATGAGATAATGCCACTTGAATCTAAATATAAAAAATATATATATGTTTTTAAAAATATTTTCACATTTAAAATCTAACAAAAAATATTTTTTATATATTTTTTTTTAAGTTGCAAGTCCCTCTGCAAGTTCCCATCCTCTTGTCTCTCTCTCCACCAAAATCCATCTCAATACATAAAAACCCCCACATACCCCCCTCATCCTCCCCTGAAGTAGTATGTAATCCAACAAACCACTCCCATACCCCAAGACCTCTAAGAGCAAGTCCACCCTTGCTTCAAAACCGGGCTAAAGGCAGCCCAGGGGGGCAAGGAAGCAGCTCCAGCGCGCAAGGGCCAACCTTGGCAAGAGCTGGGTCCCGCGAGCCCAAGCAAGCCCACGGGCAAATTCAGCCCGAGCTGCTGCCAGGGCAAACTGATGCAATGCTGACGTCATAATGACGTCAGCAACCCAAAAAAAATGAAAAAAAATAGAAAAAAAAGGAAAAAAAAATACCAAAAATTCCAGATTTTTTAAAAATAAATACCTAGGCATATTCTTTACTTCTCACACCAAAAACTATATACAAATTCATCTCCTCATATCTCATATGAATAGTATTTGCCTTAGACTTGCCCTAGACTTAGCTCTCATGGGTGGAACCACAAATGCAAAGGCTGACACTATTCACGTGAATAGTGGCAGCCCTTGCTTGCCCTTGCCTTAGACTTAGCCATTGTGGGTGGAAGTGCTCTAAGGCCCCATTGTTGACGTGGCATATATATATATATATATATATATCACAAAACATTCCTGAGGTTTACGCACCTATCACAAATGGAATGGTTCCTATGAAATTTTTTTATTTTTTCATTTAAAATTCATAAAATTTTGGTTTTCTTTTTTAAATGATTTAAAAATATATATTGTATTTTAAATACATGTGACACTATATTTTTGAAGATGTGGACTCCACATATATGTCACATCAACAAACTAATAAAGTTTTTTAAAAATAATTTAAAATTCATAAAATTTAAAAATGAAAAAAAACCATTTATAGAAGGATTTTAACCTTGAGGACCATTTATGAACCCTAAACCCTTAGTTTTTTTTTCCATTTTTAAACCTTAAGGATGTTTTATGATATTAAGCCTTTTATATTTTCTTTAAAATTTTGACGTTGCTAGAAGCAGTCCACAGAGAGAGAGAGATAGAGGGTGGGGTTGGGCGTAGGTTACGGGTGGAGATGGGGGCGATCGGGTTGCGGACAAGAAAAAAACAAAGGGACAGGGAGAGCACAGGGAGGAGAAAGGGAGAGAGAAAGGGGGGAGGGGGGCAGAGCCGTAGAGGGGAAGAGAGACGAAGCAGAGCTGCAACTTAAAAAAACCAAATTTAAATGTGAAACTATTTTAAAAAAATAATTTTTTGTATTTAAATCCACATGGCATTATCTCATTGGATATGCGAGCATCATATACATGCCACATCACCAATTTAACAGAAATTTTGATGGAACTTAACATCATAAACCAAATTGATGTATGATGTGTAATATAAAGGACCAATAATATAAGAAGAAGAAAAAACCATAAAGAAATGGTAATTTCGCAAACCTAAAAAATAATTTGTGCTAAAAATTCATATTAATTAATAATGCAAGAAAAGAAGGAGAAAAACAAAAACATGAGAAAAGTAGAGGGCCTCCTCCTCCCAAGTGCTTGGGGAAACCATCCACCCAACTTTTGATTTTGCATGTCTTGACCAATCCCAATCCACTTGCAAAGCACAAGTCCAAAACAAAACAAACACCTTTAATGTGTTTATTTAGTTGTAATGCATGGTTTGAGAGTGAACACCCCTCTTTTCAACACCCCACTTTTCTTTTGTTTGGGGGTGGTGCATTCTCAAGGGCCTATCTTTCTAGTTCCCCATTAGAAATATAAATATATATATTTTTATATATAAATGTCATAGGGATTGGAGTGGTCAAAGTTTGTATATCTTTCTCTCCTTTAGCACATTTCTTTATGGATTTGGATTCCAATCTCTTTCAACCAAATTTTAATTGAAAGGGAAAGCTTGTTAGGTTACAGTCAGCAACCATTTCAACAATTGCGGCACTTTGTCTCTCTTCTCTGTCTTACTCTCTAAACCCTGAAAATTTATTTATTAATTTACTTGCTTTATTTATCTCTAATTCATTGCAGCCACGTCGGTGGGTTGCCTTCAATTGTTTATAGCCTCTGAGCATCCGACTGCCCAATCTCCGGCATCTCGCTTACTTTTTAATGCTAAATAATACACCATCTGCAACCCTGCACCACTAGTATTTTATTCAATGCATCAGAAACCTAGATCATAGGTTTCACCCCACACCCACCATACCATAGGATGATTAGTATTTTGTTGCGTTTTATTTTTCTTATGGAAAGAGATTTTGAGGGTGAGGGATTTGATTCGAACACAATATCCCGTTAGCTTGGTACGGTTTTTAATATTAAAAAGAGAAGTACGGTTTTTAATATTGAAAAGAGAAGTATTACGAAAACCAGATGCGATGTAACTATTTTCATTAATATTAGTTGAGGGCACCAATTGGTTGGTTAGTTCTCTTTAATGTGTTAGAATGGGTGTTTCTTCAAGTTCAAGTCATTATAATAAAAAAAGATAAAATGCCGGTGAGACAAATACCAGCATTTCTCTTGTTTCTTGTTAAGCACTTCAAGGGTGTTGATTGAACATCTTTAATTGAATGACGGTCAAACAAAACAAAAACCATTTTTCTCTTACACGAAACAAAGACAAATGATCTGTCATTTTAACATATTTTTGGTGGCTGGGCATTTGCAGCTCTTGTTTTTATATGAACTTTTTTTTTACAAATTACCAAACAATCACGACAAAAATCAGGATTATATCAAATGCAGCCTCACCATCCAAAGTGGAATCACTATTACCATCTAATAAAAATAAGAATGATTGCTGCTGCATGATTAATTACTTAATAGCAAGTTGCTTAGCCAGATAATGCCTGGGTTATAATAATAATTAAACCCTCACCCTAAACGCACATCACCATCCCAAAACAATCCCAACAATTACCCACTAAACATGGATCGCCATTATCTCCCACTCTGCCGAATGGAACTTAGGACAGTGGGTAACCGCTTGAATTTAAGTTATTTATTAATTATCATTATCTCCACGATGTAGAATCGAATTTAAGACATCGATGTAGAATCGAATTTAAGACATCGAATAACCGCTTGAACTACAAATTCCTTATCAATCAACACCGTAAAAAAATCACATTTTTACGGTTGAGGCTACTGTTCCTACTGAGCTGCAAATTTCGAACTAAACCATAAATAAATTTAAAATAAAAACAAAAATACCCAACTAAAAATTAAATGAATTTCTCCGTTTGTATTCACTAACAAAATTTCTGTCATTTACTTTTTTTTTTTTTGTTTTTTTTTTCTTTTTTTTTTTTTTTTTTTTTTTTTTTTTTTTCTTCAAAAGGGATATGAGTGGTCTTAGTATCATAACAAGAAATAACCGATTTGGAATTGACCCGAAAAATCTTGAGCAAATCGGCCGACATTTGACGAACAGCCGGCGAGCAGTTGCTCTGCATCAACAGCAAGATCTTGGTCAACCCGTTTGCCTTGGCAACCGCCTCCTGCGCGGCCCGTTCCTTGAACAAATAGCACACGCTCCACAGTATCGTCACCGCATGCTCCATCGCTGCACCCGATACTTTCAGTAGCCTCTGCACGATTCCCGCCACGCACTTCCCGTCCTCACATATCTTCGCCCTCCCTTCCTTCACCGACGACGCCATTTCGAGCACCTTGAGAACCTTCTCGATCGTCGACGTCGCCGAGTTCGGGTCCCCCAGCAGCTTCGACAGCCACTTCACGGCTCCCAAATGGACCAGCCTCACCTTCACCCTCCTCGGCGTCGACACCGCGATTAGGCACGAAAGACCCGCCTCGATCAGGGTCGGGTCCTTTTCCGGACCCGTCAATTTCAGCAATTCGGATAGCAGGCCGTCTTTCTCGGAAATTAGGAACTTGGCCTCAGCGTTGACCGCGATTGACTCCAAAATCCTAGCCGATGCGATTCGAGCGTCCGCACTTCCTTGTTGAAGGACGACGAGCAGCGACGCCAGGCAGTCGCGGCCGGTCTTCTTTAACATCCATCTCATCAGCTCCTCGCGCCCTTGGATTTCGTCGTCCAGCAACAAATGGATGATCGTCACTGCTTGCTCCAGGACGCCGATTTGAGGGCCGTCCACGGCATTGTCACCGCCGCCGATAAAGTCGACGAGCAGCGACATGAACCCGTCGCTGCTCGCGAGAAATTTCCGGTTCTCGTCGGACTCTCGCGCGAAGCGAGCGATCTTCGACAGCGAGTCAAGCGAGGAGGGCTCGGAGTCCATGCACTGGATTAGGTCGCTGACCTGGTCCCTAGCCGGTAACTTGGAAGGGGAAGAAGGCGAGTCGCTGTCGACTGAGTCGACCCGGTGGGGGCGGAGCGAGTCGGACCAGATCTGGATGAGGCGGTGCAAGGTGCGATTGGGGACAAAGTCTTTGGTGTGGAGGACTTGCATGGTGGCGGGACACGTGTTGTTGCCGTCGTCGAGCCAGCGCTGGATGCTGGTGCGATCGTAGGTGACGCCGGTGCAGAGGCTCACAGGGGATTTCATGACTTCGAGCGAAATTGGGCACCGGAAGAAACTAGGCACCGCGATGTACAGGTCGTCCCTCACCATCTTCTCTGTGTCTGTGAATTCGGGTGGAGGGAGAGAATGGAAATAGGGGGGGAGAGAGAGAGAGAGATAAATCGGAGAAAGAATGGAGAAGACAAAGAGGAGCTGTGCGTTTAAAGAAGACAAAACAGAGAAAAGAAAAAAAGAGAGTAAAAAGAGTCAAAGGTACGCTGACGTCACCATTTTACTTTTTTCTCTGATTTCATATTTATTTAATTTTAAAAAATATTCTCTCTCCCCCCTCTTTGGTCTCTGGTCAAATGAGGGGCTATTATTTTACTCAGAGTTCAGTTCGCGGGGGTGTTTGTCTGTATGGCACTGTATCTGAACCCTTGGATGAAGGGGGTTAGGATCGTGGGAGTGAATGAAGGGCTGGGATTAAATGGAGTACACGTGGGATGGAGTGGATTTTAACTTTTGAACGAAAAAAGCGTATAATGGGGAGGAGAACGTGGGGTGGGGAAGTGGGGACCACGCAGCAATGAGCATTGAGGTGGTGTGGTGTGGTGGTGGCCCAGCGAGGGGTTCCCTTGGTCGGTTTTAATGGATATTACATCATTTGTACGTTGAGAAATGACTTTGGATTTGCGGGAGGGAGGGGGGGAAGGAATTTATATTTATTTATTTATTTATTTATTTATGATGGGCTTTTATTTCTTGAGATTTACGGCGTAGGGTAACAGCATTACTTAATACAACTTAACAAGGAAACACGGAGCAAGTAGGGTGACCCGATATTCCTTCTTTTGCTTGCTTTATGATCCTTCCTTCCACTCCAATATTCGTCTTCTACTTCTCCTTTTAATCATTTTTATTTCTCCAAAAGAAAATACCAAATAAAATTCTTGTGTCCAAAGAAACAACTGCCAATCCGTAGCATACAACTCACAAGGATTCGTCTCACCATGTTTCTTCTCGAAAGTTACGTTGTTGTAAATAGAGTTTTGGAATTTGCTGGACAAGGAAAGGATGATTCACAGCTTCTACTTCAATTTGTCCTTGAACACTAATTTATCTGTTTCCATTGTTTTTTTTTTTCAAATTCTTTTTGCTTTCATTTAATGAAACCACTTGTGTGAGAGGACGAAGAGGATGAAATCCAACGAAGCTGAGAGTTGCGTAAGGGGCTAGGGTCTGCAACTTTTAGGCTTAGAGAAGGGGCTGTGGTCAGAAATCAGGTAGATTTTTTTATAATTATTTTATTATTTAATACATTTTTTTTTGGATTGGTTAGTGGGTGGACCCACAATGCACACGTCTTCAATTAATGCATGACCAAACAGTCAATTTAACGGAATGCTTAAATTGGTCAAATTTGAAAATAATGGAATGTAAATTGATGAATTGAAACTTAAAGGCCTATACTGAAAATGACCTCAAACCTTTAGGAGGCCTTTTTGACATTAGCCAAAATTTTTTTTTTATAAAACTCAGTATAAAAAAAAAACCCTATTGGCACTTAAATAACATGTGCATAAACATGGTGATGAGAAGTCCTTTATAAAAAAAAATATTATTAAAATAATAAGCAATGACTATTATTGGTGAACAAACAAAAATATAAAGCAACTATGTGTCGAATATGGGTAAATCTTTTTTAGTGACCAAATGCAACAACATTTTGTATTGATTTGGAGAGAATCACGCACAACTTAAAAACGAGTGAAATCCTGATTCAACAACTAGATGCACATGTACTCAAACATGCAATATAGATCCGTCGTGCAACGGCAAAAACAACAAATTTGTATCGAAAGCCGAAAGCTAACAAGAAATAAAACATCCAAAATAGAAAACAAAACACAGCAAACTCCAAACGAATTACTGAAAATTATTAGACTAAAACAAACTAGGAAGCAGGATCACCGCTCCACATTCTCCCAGGAAACCCGAAGAGAGCCATAAGTGCCATCTCAGTTAAATCCAAAATGCTACATTGGCTACACCCAAACCCGACGCAACCCGAGATCTTCTCATCTTTGCAACTCACAAACTATTCCAAAGGCTGACAACTAGAGCCAAATCCCTGTGTACGTGGGCCAAAAGACGGCGACTATATCATGACAACGACATCGTGACATAGATGTTGCTTCCACATTACCCCAAAAAAAAATCACTAATAAATGAGGATATTTAGGGAAAACAGAGGGAAGGAGAGGAGGGCAGAGGGGAGAGGGGATAGGGGGTACAGAGGGGGGCCACTAACCCCCAAAGAGGGCGATAGCCGGGACTTTTTTTCCTTAGGGTTTTCTTAGAGAGCTCTTCCACATCACCTATAATTGGGTCATGTTATATTTACTAATTCATGTGTTATATGATGAGAATTCTATTGCAGTGTAGGTCTTGTAAGTAGGGATAGCTTTGGATTGAATTGAACTAATATATACCCTAAATTAAACCTTAATTTAAAATCCTATTTAAAGCCCAAGTTAGCCCTAAATTAAATCCTAAGTTGCAACTTAAAAGAAACAGACAAAATATGAATAACAGATTATCAAATAATTAAGGAAAAAAAAAGAAGAGAAAAAGAAGCAAGACACATGAGAATAAGGATGAAGGGGAATAGCGAAAGAATAAAAAGCACCAGAAAAGTTTGAAAAGGTTGGGGATTGGGCCAGGATAATCCTGAACTAAAGGAATGTTAACAAAAAGAGTGATGATAATTTTTGAAATATTTGATGGATTTTTGTGACATAAAGCATTTGTTACCTTTCATTCATAGCTATAGATTCATGGGTTATCATGAATATAACCATCAAATCATAGCATTTAAGATAATAATCTAACGGAATCATGTTGAGCAAGGTTCATAATTGTAGACATGTACACATTATACTGTATGAATGATGTAGTAGCAGGTCTCACTAATTTAATTAAAATTTAATTTAGTTTCTATAAATTATTTTGCTGGGTTAATGATGAAATTGTACATTGATAATTTTTTACTTGACCTTTATTACTTTAACTTACATTGATAATAAATTATTTTATTATGCATATTGCTTCTAGGGTCTCAAGATCGGACTTGAATCGGACAAGGAAATTTGGGTATAAATTCATTCTAAAGTAACTACCAACTACACTGATTTTGCATTAAAATTCCAAAGCGTATCATCAAATTTTGTTGACTACAAAGGCATTCCGAGTGACTGGTTTCTCTCGTGACATGTTTACTTATGAGAAATGTGTATGATAATTATTCCAATTTATACTTTCCTTGTATTTACACGGCCATTTTTCATGAGTTTGGGTTGCAAATTTTTATTTTTTATTTTCTAAAACCGAGTACGTATTATTAGAGAATATTGAGGGAGCTGGGCAGAAGGTATGTATGCAGTTCAGCTGCTTCCTAGGTCCGACGAATGATTATATGTTGAAGAAAGCAATAATAATCATAATAATAAGCACGATGGCACCGAAAGCATCACTACTCAGTACACACAGTTTCTCGTTAAACACTTTCACTCGGCATTTGCTTAGATAATGGCAAAACTTTTATCATCTCTATCCACTAACTGGTTTCATTTACGGCAAAAAAAAAAAGTAAAATGGACTTTCCTATCTCCATTTATCTTCTTTTGAGGGACTACAGTAAAACTATACACGGCTAGCATAATAAGTTGTCAGATTGCTGACAGTGGTGGAGCTAGGAATTTATTTGTGGAGGGCCAATATATTAGGGTTTAATGTTGATTTTTTTCTCAGTGTCAAGTTTATCAATAGCAATCATGCATGAAATTTCAGCAGCTTGAGCATTTTTTAATTCATCTGTATGCTTGCATGAAGCATCAACAATATTAGTGAAAAAGTGGTGGATATGAATAACTTCCCTTGATGATGCAGCTAAAGTCAAATGCAATAAATGTGCTAAACAATATCCATAGTAAGTATATGGACAAATCAAAGTTTGTAAATAAATAAATAACGGATTACCTTTGATTTCCTATTTTCTTAAATATACTTATGAAAAAAAGATTTAATTGACTATTTTTTTAATTTTTATTAATTATGTTGGTAGGGTCCACGAGTAACTTAGCTATTTTGCCAAGGAAATAGCCTTTTAGTTGGACGGGAAACGTAAATCTCTCCTTCTCTTTATTGTGGAGGGCCACAAGTATTATTTGAATATATATATTAGCCCCTTGGCATACGCTTACGCATGAATTGCAATTTTTTTTTTTTTTTTTTTTTTTTTTTTAAAAATTTTATTTTTAGAATTAAGAAAATATAATATGGGTAGTTATGTTCCATAAAATAGGACCTATTATCTGATTTGTTTTTAATTTTAATTTTTTATAATATTGAAAAAATGTAAATTTACAATATTATCCTAATTTAATTAATAATTTTAATTCTTAATGTTTGAATTAACCAAGGGCATTTTCTGGTATTTTGAATGTTTCACCATTCTCTACCTTTTGTTATATATATATATATATATATATATATAGATTCCTAAGTTGTCCTATACAAACCCCAATATATAATAGTATTTTCAGAATTTTGGGAGGGCCAAGGCCCCTGCAGGCCTAAGCACACCTCTGCCACCGACTGCTGATATTTGTTTTAGAGTACTTCTGAAAAGACTAAAAGCGGTTTCTGATAATAAAAATTCTTTTAATAGCGTTTGACAATGCTTTTTAAAGGCGCTTCTTCAAAAACCACTTCCAAGTACTCTTTGAACAAACACTTCTATATAAAAGATAAGCCCCAAAAAAAAAAACTTATGAACCCAAGTGCTTCCTACATAAATATTCCCAATTGAACTAATTTTCTTGTAATAAAATAGAATAAAACTTTTTGTTATCTCTTCGGAAAAAAAATAATTTGTGATAAAAATAAAGTGGTGTAATCGAAAATTAAGTTGAAAAAAGAAGAAGAAGAAAGTGGATAGAAGGATATGACTATAGGGTTTTTGTAGTCAATAGTCAAAGTACGTAGATTTGCATGAGAAAGACGTGCTTGGGATTGCAACCAAATGCTGCAAAGGCGTAAGAAATTGA